TTGTAAGTTCAGAACACATTTCTAATTTCCAAGAGTGATGAATTAATGCAAATTACCTGCCAAACAAAAAATAATAGTTTGAAATCAATTCCGGTGATATTTTCATGTCAAATCACAAATGTCAAATGTAACAGGGACACCCTAATGTCTGGAACTACCCATATACATGTTCGTATATATATGTTAACAGTCCTGTATTACTCTTGTTAAATTCCCTTTATTTGTTAACTTTAATTTATTAGCTTCAAAATATCTTTTTGTTACTGGTGGTTTCTTTACTTAATTAAATATCACTGAATTGTACTTTATACTTTACATTATTCCACTTTGTACTAGTTTATTGGAGAGTTCAAAATGTCCACTGAATTGCACTGAACAGAACACACAACGAAAGGTGAAGGATGTTATAAACATAATCTGATACAGAAACACTACATACATGTTCATGTACTTGAAGGACACTTTAACATGACCATGGCGTCGCATGGTGTGCACTGTCTGGTAAAGTTGGCTATGTATGCCATTTTTAGCATCATTGTATGTTAATTTCAGCATGCAATGTGCAAGCGGAAGGGGATTTTTTTTTTTCTCCGCTCAAAATGTTCCAAAGGCTGCCCTTGCAAACATCACGAGTTCATTACACGTACCAGTACAGAACGTGACAGGAAACCACAACGGAACATTCAGTGTGCGTAATAATGTACGTACAGTGTATACCGCATACATATGTGGGTTTTTCTTCCAAACTCAAAGGAGTCATGTTGTGACCATAAGCAGCAATGTAAAGTTTCCACATACTGTCAGGCCCGTAAGCTGGGGGGGTTCGAACAAACCCCCCCCCGCTCGCTTCCGAGTTCTGTTGGTTGGTGTGTTTCTTTTTTGGGGGATAATAAATATATTATTTTAATATACTACAATTTTTGGAATGTAAGCCGGGGTTTATACATTGATTTTCACATGGAAAATATCTCTGCGGTTTATAATGAACTGCAGGCGGTTTATACGGCAAAGTTTAAAGAATGAAATCAGTCACTAAACGCCGCTCCGTGCCTCAGCGCAGCCTAACCTGGGCCGCCGCCGCAATTGGCCAGCCATGCGTACCTGCGGCGCGGCGTAGCATTCCAGGCACAGGGACAAGGCAGTCATGTTTTCATTGGTTGCCGTTTACATTGGCACTACTCACGTGTTGGAAATGAAGGAAACCAGTCCAGAAAGACTGAATAGACTGGTAAATGCCCTGTAAGTACCGTTCGCACCTCACAAATTGTGTGGTACGTCTCTTCTTTTTTTGTCTTTTACGGTTGTGTAATCCATGCTGTTTATCACCTTACTGGTCTTAAAAAGAACAGCTGCATGCATATGCAGCAAGGTATGAGACAGAGAGAACCCCCTCTACTTTGTGTTGGTCATTGTCTCGCAGGAATCTGGGGAATTCCTTTCAGATATCTTGGGGGGATGTGTTGAGTAACAATAGTCTGGAATGTGTATAGGGATTGGACATGTTGGGGGGGTACCCCTCGGTCTCATTTCTTGCTGGGTATAGCTGCATAGCCCACCCAGCAAAGACTCAGGACACTAATCCAGCCCACTAAAATTGGTATTTTTGAGGACTCAAGAAAGTTTAGGGGTAATGAAAACACTCGTTCATGCGCTGCTCCACATTAAAGATTTCACTTCTAACATTTGTGCAAGAAGCAGTATTTCATCTCCAATTTCACAAAAGGTGAAATTTAATCAAACTCTAAATATTTAGATTCATAAATGTCGATTTCATTTACCCGCTACAAAGTTCCAATATGTTAATTTGGTCTGATTTTGCGATTTTTTTTGAAGTGGAAAATGAAATGCACCCTAAATATTCTTTTTTACCATTTTTACTTAGGTCAGTGGAAGTAAGAATGATTTACTTTTTAGAACTTTTGAAAGTTTTTGTGGGATTTCTGATATTTTTTTAATAATAATGTTTATATCATTCACTCGCCGTCACCCAGTGCCCAATTCAAGGTGCAGAGTGAAGAGCAAATTCATTACCAGGTTAATTTATAATATGCCGTGAATATTGAAAACTGAAGTAAGGGGTCTACACAAGTCTTACATGTACATGCATCCTTTGGTTCGTGACCAACATGGAACTTGTTTGATGTTGTGCTCCAAGGCACATTGTAATAGGCCTTTGTATAAAAACATGTGTTCATAGTGCCAAAAGTTCCACTTTGGGGTTTGAAACCCCCCCAGTCTCTGGTCAGGCAACGGGCCTGCCTACATGTATAGAAGAATGTTGCAAGTGGGAACCATTCTCTAGCATTTTTAGGACACACCTCCTTTAACAAGTAACACTGACCCTGACCTTGGTTGCTGAAGTCTGCTGGAATAAGTAACTGTACCATGGATATAAGTCTTATACTCTGGATGATAGAACTTGGTCCTTCTTGGATTGTATTGCATTCAATAATATAATTTCTACATGTTCAGTCAACTGAGCAAACTACCGCTATCAGTGTCCAACCCCCAACTCGGTTTGAGAGCATTAAGTAGTTTGAAAGGGTGGTTACTTACAAAATTTTAGGTACAAAGCTTATGCCCAACATCCACAGAAACGTTACAAACTTACATGTACATGTACCGTACTTGAAGCAACAATAGATTCAAGTACATGTATACATGCTGCATGGTCATTACTGTCAAATTATGAACTTCCGGTAATCAGAAACTAATTTGCTGGAGGCAAAGTACAGTATCAAAGGTGCGGGTGAAGACCCTTTTGGCAACTTGATGTTCTTTCTTCAACATATATGTTATATGGTACATACGCAGACATATGTACTTGACATTCTTTGGGGGTTCAAGTTTATTGAAAACTATGGTAATCACGGTTGCTGGGATATCAGTTACTTTAAGACACTGCTCCATTTCAGGTTTTTTCTGTTCAAGTTGTGAACCCCAAATTTGCTCAAAGAAAACATTTCTGAGAAAGGGCTGCTTGTTGGCTAAAATAGCCATGTACATGCAGTCAAACAACTATGAATCGCTTCAGAAGAAAACTCCAAAAAATATTTTCTTAAAAATTCAGCAAGTTTTGTGCAAACTACATGTAAATGTACCGGTAGCACAGAGGCATTCTCCTAGAAATGATATCACAGCTTTGCTCATGAATATGGAAATGTGCATTAGAAGAAAAACAAACAGGCACCACAAATCCTTTAACATAGCACCACAAATCCTTCAACATAGCACCACAAATCCTTTAACATAGTAACACAAAGAAATATTTTCAAGGACTGCTGCAAAATACACAGCGATGCATACGCAGACCCCTAACACCACATGTTCAGCAAATATACATGTACCACACCCATCATTCCAAGACACTGCCTTGAAAACCATATGTTTTTTATTTCTTCTCTGCGCATGACTGTCAAAATTTCTGATTCTAAACTAAGTTCACTGGCAGTATGACTGGCTACTACATTCCTTACTCGCCGATGATACATGGTATAAATGATTACAAGTGGCAACGGCATGAAAAGATGCTTCAATGAGTACTGTGGTTCAAGTTTGCTACGTTGTAATCTAGAATACTGAGTGATAACCTTCAGAACACCAATGGAAAGGTCGGGGACATCTGTTGTGAAGATGTGCATGCGTGATGAGACCAAATTAGAATCAAGGCCAGATGATTTTTTTTTCTATTACAATGGGATGAACCTGACAAATGCCTAACACTTGACAGTATCTTGACAAGATGTAAATGCCCTACATGTACATTACATCTTCCAAAAACCAGCTGTTTTTTTTAAGCACAGATTGGTTAATGACCAGAACATGAGATGTTTCTTGCCTGAAAAAAGATAGCTCTGCAGTACACAGGTAATTGAACTTGTTACTTGGCCTGACGTACGTGTCTTCAACTTAAAAATGTATAAAAGGGATGCTTGAGACAGAATAAATGGAGCTGTCACTGGCTGGCCATAAGTTAAGTTTTAGTGTGAACTGGTCTTATGACTTCTTGGGAAAATCTGATGCAGCTGTATGAACATTGACAAAAAAGTTTCTGAAATATACCTTAGAACTGACCTCCTCCTGTTAATGGTCTGTCAGTTTGTTGCTGAGTGTTTTGCCACCCTCCCCCCCCAAAAAAAATTTCTGGCAATGTTCATTAACTTGAAACGCATAAATGCAAAATTGTACATCATTACAGAAGTTAAAGCTACGCCCACCACTGTTTTTTTGTTTTATGACAATGTAAATATGATACCTTATATCATGGCCCAATATCATCAATCAATACTGTATCATGAACGAGTGGTGATGTACTGTACATAATGGCATCTTTACAGGCGCTAGATACAAAAAAAAAAGGAAAGAGCCACTGGCTTAATACGGAGTATAGCATTTGGGCCGAGTCAGGATGTCTTCATGCAAAACAAACTCAAGGGCCATTTTTAATTTTCTTTCCCAGCCATAAGGAACAGAAAGCAAGGAAGCCAAAACATGCAGCTTCAATCAGCGTCTCCATGATTTTGCCGAGAGACGTTATCCAAGTACAAAACCTTAAGAATGCGCCAACCCTCCCAGGAATTCAACCAGGGTGCTTCAGAATTATTCCATCGCTCACTTGAAGATTCAGCACAGACATTGGCTTCACAAAGAAAAAGATTTGCCAAGCGAAAAAAACAGGATACTGGCTCATCAAGTGTCACACAATCTGCATTCTCTTGTGAGGGATTCTCACCTGTTTCCTTGCTACGCAGATCAATTTGTTTAACGACATGTTCTGCTTGGCAGCTCCATCAAACAGGGCACTGATTTGAATCCTGCAAACGTGGTATATATTTTTCAATCCCTGAAACAGTTTTCTTTCCTATTATAGGGAACTGGAATTTTCTTTAGCTCGTCTCCTTTGAAGTTGGGACCTTGAAGAGGAAAAAAGTGCTAATGCACTGATACAGCTTCTTTCAAATTCAAATTCACAAATATACAAAGAGGATGAGATAAAATACCTTAACAGTATCAAACGGTTGACCAACCAGCACACCGGCAGCCCCTGGATTGGAACAGAAAGGTGGAGGGGAAGAGAGGAGAAAAAAGGGGAGTAAAGGTCAAGTTGAAAACTGCCATCACAAAGCAGGTGCGATTGTTGATGCTTGAAGCAATCAAGTAATGGAACACTGTGTCAACAATCCTGCACTTTTGGCAAGGGCCAACAGGTAAGAATTCTTCAACACTTGTTGAAAGGGGGGAAAAAGAGAAGGCATTGTGTGATGGAAGATTAGAAACAGGTGCGTAGAACTGCACCTCACATTGCACATGTACTGTGGGCCTACCAAAATTATTGAAGATCCAATCACAAATCCCCCCCTCCGTTTGGTTTCCGTCTGGACTTGAGTTACAGGTACATGTAGCAGACTTTCAGGAAGGCCTATTCCAATATTTGCATCAGGGTACTTATCAAATGTTTAAAAATAGCCAGAATTTCAAGTAAATCAAGGTTTTGTGGGCCTTTTTCCACATGTGCAGTACATGTACGAATGGTTTATGCAATGCTAGATGTAACTTTTTTCATGCCATTTGCTGAGATTATGCCTACTGGTACAGGTGTAAATGTACATACATGTAGCTCTTAGTTTGTGATATACATGTATTTGGGAAGAGCGGTGACCGACAGCCGGAAACCTGAACCGGTACATACATGTACGTGACTTGTGATCTGGTGCAAGTCTACACATGTAGGTGATATACATGTAGCACCCATATATAAAGCATTTCTGGAATGGCAGACATCAACAGGTTTTTCTGCAATTGATTCATGCGTATTGTACATGTACAGTGACATAGTATATAGACATTTTGTACATAGTGTACATGTATGTACTGGAAAAATTTTACTCCTTGAAATTTGATTTGAGAAGTACAGATAAACCGCACATACTAAGTAAAAATATTTAACAAATGAAAACATTTTGTTCTATACACATGCGTGCACCTATACAGGTATGTGATAATAAAGACAGAAATTTATGCTTGAGTTAACACAACTTTTCTAATAGCCCTTATGCAGAACAATTAAATTGGTTATGGTTCCCTTGTTGCTAGGGAACCTCCTCAATCTTCCAAAATCCTTCAATGTGAAAAAATTGGATTCTCCCCCCATCCTCCAAAATTTCTTGCAAATGTTACTTGGAGGTATGCCTACTTCCTCAATCCTTCAAAACCCTTCGGCAATTCCTGTCATGATGTCGAGGCAGAGGGAATGGCATTCTTGAGCAGTACGGTTGATTCAAAAGAAATAGTGGGCTCCATTTATGCATGACTAAGAAAACAACAGAAGGTCTAACCCACGACCTTCATGCAGGGCATCCTCCACAACAAGCCATGCACTTTTGCCATTCACCCTCAATCTTCCCAAATCCTCCAAAACCACCCGAAGGATTTTGGAGGATTGAGGAGGGTTAAGGTTAAGTACCATTAACTTAAGCTACAATTCTGCATTTTTCTGTATGAATGGTCTCCAATAAAATTTTCATTATTCCACAGTGAAAGATGCCGTCAACTGGCATTAGGACTCACCTCCCACACATCCAGCAATAAAATCAGAGGCCATTATCCATGTGGATGACAGCCCGTTCTGTCCATTTTGCTTGGTGGCATCCTGGGCTGTTGGGACATCTACTTGGGTCACTGCCGTCCCATCACTGTGGGTCATGCCACCCACAGCCACCTTACCAGGCGAGGGTGATGATGCATCCATTGTGTAGGAGGGCTCTTCCAATTCCACAGGCGTTTGCTGTAGCTGAGCCATGTAAGGTGGATTTTTCTCGAGCTTGCCCCGTGTCCGCTCAGCCCAAATGGGTGAAAAACTGTCAAGGGCAGTCACTATCAGAGTAGACAAGTCATTGGAGCCTTCGTGACTCCTTTGGAGTTCGTAATGCCGGTGGTGAGGTGAAGGCTTTCTTGAAACAGACAATTGGATTGGGAAGGTGAATGCATTCTGCCAGCAATCATCATGGAGAGTGGCATTCCCCGCAAAGAATTCTGTAATAGCAAAAGGGGGGAAAAAACCCAAGGGCACAGTGACATAGAATGCTGCTGGCTAATGACAAGTGACACTATGGTACATGTAGAATACATGCATTTCTCATTTCTGAATGTTCAAGAAAATACAATACCTGGGAACATTTGTGCCCGAGCAAGATCTTTAAACCATTCTTGCTTCTCTCTACAAAAGACCAACAGGAATCTACATGTACACGTACCAGTATGCACACGTACATGTACATGTGCTGCATGTACATGTTGTATCTCTACCTGTGGAGTAACTGTACACGTACACGTACATGTACCTGCAAAATGAGGACCTCTTGCACCACTTAAGGCTTAAGCAATGCCAGACATGTCTACGGGTATGGCACAAGTTGTGTTTTACCACAGAGGACAGACACACTGAGAACTAAAACATTTTCTGATGGGCGGTACTGTCCGCAGAAGTAAATTCAATCCGTTCTCTGTGAGAATCAGGAATGCAGGAAACTAACACAACTCCTTGTTGTCTGTGGTTAGGTACATAAATCATGACTGTGCATGGTACATGTGTATATGTGCACCAGTCCATGTACCGTTATACTGTATGTACCATAAATGCATTGTACACTGTGTATGGACAGTTTCTGTGATGTTTGGTTCATGAGCATGGTTACTGAAGGATATGCTTGTACGGGCTGGCCTACAAAGCAACACCATTAAAACTAGGGCTGTGCCGAATGTCCGAAATCCGCCTATGGGTAATTCCATTTTTTTCCTGTTCCAGATACATCTGACATATGATTTTGTAAGTTCAAAACACATTTTCTAATTTCCAAGAGTGATGAATTAATGCAAATTACCTGCCAAACAAACAGTAATAGTATGAAATCAATTCCGGTGATATTTCCATGTCAAAAAACAAAGGTAAGATGTAACAGGGACACAAAAAGTCACTCTTTTGGACTCCTAATTTCTGGAATTACCCATATTAGATTGATTGTGGAATATTTGAATATTATTTTCCAAATTTGAATATTCAAATGCAAAATTCATGAAAAGGAAGGGAGAATTTTCTTGTTTTCAATGAGAAATATTGCACTGAGCAGATTCAAATGAAAAGCAACAGAAATTTTACAATGATTCAAAAAGTAAATTATTCATTAAAAAATGTAAAAGCAAAAGAAACATTTAACAGGGCAAGAAGTGTTGTTCGTCTCTTGTTAAATTATGGCTGAAGATACTCCTACTGTAGATGTGAGAAGCTATTATATTGATTATAATGTACAATCATGTGGGTCAGTGCAACTGATTGTATATAGTTTAATTATCTGACGGTCGATAAGACCGAATATTTGGATATTCGATCGAATTCAAGGTTGCATATTCAAACAGTGAATTATTCGAGTTGATTCTAGTTGGCACTCACAGCAATTACATCCATCACGGTGGCTGATTCTCTGTCTGATGATTCTAATTCGGTACGCCCTAAGCTATAAAGTATTTTCCTGTGAGATTGCAAATTCACTGGACACAGTTTACTGCCCCTGTTGCTGTTTATCGCCCCCCCAAAAAGAAACAAACCAAACAAAATTTGTGTTCCCAATTTCACGTACACTTTACCCACCTTAGCCAACAAGTCTTGAGTAGCAAACCATCTGGAACCTAAGCTTTTAATTGGAAAATCACACACACCTCAATTTCATATCTCATGCCATCCTGCACTTGCAATAAAAAGAAAACCAAAATCAAAACAGAAAAAAATGAAAAAAATTAGAATGGCAAAGCCGCCCGGCTCACTGCTTGTTATAAATTTGAATTTCTTTTCTGAAATAACAGGAAAGAAAGAGACATCGATCTTGGCAATAAAATTCTTTGTACACTAGGAGAAAAAACCTAGGAGTTAGTGCTGTATGCAAACTGTGTGTTGAAAGGCACCTGTTGTTTAAAAGAAAATCAACAAAGACCACCAACAAGGGAGATACAGGTACAAAGGTATCACAGTTCTTTACAGGCGAGAGGAATGCCTATAGAAAGTGGGTCAAGTAGTCAGACTAGACCTGGATGATTACATAAGCAGTGCATTTGTGAGTTTGATAGATGGTACATAATTAAAATTCCTCTAAAATACTGTTCTGCCCTTTGTATCCAACCCCATCATCCTATCATCTACAATTCTANAGAATAGAATACCTGGGAACATTTGTGCCCAAGCAAGAACCATTCTTGCTTTTCTCCACAAAAGACCAACAGGAATCTACATGTACACGTACCAGTATGCACACGTACATGTACATGTGCTGCATGTACCGGTACATGTTGTATCTCTACCTGTGGAGTAACTGTACACGTACATGTACCTGCAAAATGAGGACCTCTTGCGCCACGCAAGCAATGCCAGACATGTCTACGGGTACGGCACAAGTTGTGTTTTACCACAGAGGACAGACACACTGAGAACTAAAACATTTTCTGATGGGCGGTACTGTCCGCAGAAGTAAATTCAATCCGTTCTCTGTGAGAATCAGGAATGAAGGAAACTAACACAACTCCTTGTTGTCTGTGGTTAGGTACAGTGTACATACATGTAAATCATGACTGTGCATGGTACATGTGCATATGTGCACCAGTCCATGTACCGTTATACTGTATGTACCATAAATGCATTGTACACTGTGTATGGACAGTTTCTGTGATGTTTGGTTCATGAGCATGGTTACTGAAGGATATGCTTGTACGGGCAGGCCTACAAAGCAATACCGTTAAAACTAGGGCTGTGCCGAATGTCCGAAAATCCACCAATGGGTAATTCTACAAGTTAGGGGTCCATTTTTTTCGTGTCCCTGTTATACCGGTATCTGACATATGATTTTGTAAGTTCAAAACACATTTTCTAATTTCCAAGAGTGATGAATTAATGCAAATTACCTGCCAAACAAACAGTAATAGTATGAAATCAATTCCGGTGATATTTCCATGTCAAATAACAAAGGTAAGATGTAACAGGGACACAAAAATATCACACTTTTGGACTCCTAATTTCTGGAATTACCCATATTTGATTGATTGTGGAATATTTGAATATTATTTTCCAAATTTGAATATTCAAATGCAAAATTTATGAAAAGGAAGGGAGAATTTTCTTGTTTTAAATGAGAAAAATTGCACTAAGCAGATTCAAATGAAAAGCAACAGAAATGTTACAATGATTCAAAAGGTAAATCCTTCATTAAAAAATTTAAAATCAAAAGAAACATTTAACAGGGCAAGAATTGTTGTTCGTCTCTTGCTAAATTATGGCTGAAGATACTCCTAGTGTAGATGTGAGAAGCTATTATATTGATTATAATGTACAATTATGTGGGTCAGTGCAACTGATTGTATATGGTTTAATTATCAACAATCTGACAGTCGATAAGACCAAATATTTCGATATTCGTTCAAATTCAAGGTCGAATATTCAAACAGTGAATTATTCGAGTTGACTCTAGTTGGCAATCACAGCAATTACATCCATCATGGTGGCTGATTCTCTGTCTGATGATTCTAATTCGGTACGCCCTAAGCAATAAAGTATTTTCCTGTGAGATTGCAAATTCACTGGACACAGTTTGCTGCCCCTGTTGCTGTTTATCGCCCCCCAAAAAAGAAACAAACCAAACAAAATTTGTGTTCCCAATTTCACGTACACTTTACCCATCTTAGCCAACAAGTCTTGAGTAGCAAACCATCTGGAACCTAAGCTTTTAATTGGAAAATCACACACACCTCAATTTCATATCTCATGCCATCCTGCACTTGCAATAAAAAGAAAACCAAAACAGAAAAAAATGAAAAAAATTAGAATGGCAAAGCCGCCATGGCTCGCTGCTTGTTATAAATTTGAATTTCTTTTCTGAAATAACAGGAAAGAAAGAGACATCGATCTTAGCAATAAAATTCTTAGAACACTAGGAGAAAAAACCTACATGTAGGAGTTAGTGCTGTATGCAGACTGTGTGTTGAAAGGCGCCTGTTGTTTAAAAGAAAATCAACAAAGACCACCAACAAGGGAGATACAGGTACAAAGGTATTACAGTTCTTTACAAGAGAGAGGAATGTCTATAGAATGTGGGTCCAGTACAGTCAGACTAGACCTGGATGATTATACAAGCAGTGCATTTGTGAGTTTTATAAATGGTACATATTAAAATTCCTCTAAAGTACAGTTTTGCA